GGAATCTAGACACCAGCGTCAGTCTAGGAGGTGTTTCGTATGTCGTATGTCCAGCTTTTAATGTATGGAGAAGACGAGTATTCCGGTCTTCAATAGCAGCTGTGTTATGTGGAGTACGTAGATACATTACTTAAGACTATAAGAGTAAATACTAGGCGCTATAACAAGTACCTGTTGGTTGTATTGCTACAAAATGTAACACAGTAGAATATCAGCAACAAACGTATTTCTAAACACAAGCACTAATTCTATAACCGCAACCATTATTCAAGAAACAAGAAACTAATATAGTAAATAAACTGATTCTATAAATATCTAGGTTACCAGAATAAACAATAACATGCTAATATTGAATGGTATTCCATCTATAAAAACCACTATAATCTTCTATAACAAAAGAACTTAAACAAACGAATTTATGTTAGTTAGCTTGATATACTGTATTTCACATCCCCTATATCAGTTATGCTATATCATGGCATGCTACAAACCAGATGTACCGCGTGCAGTATGACGTTTCCAAGGAACAATATATTCTGTGAAAGGCACTTAACCAAACTTTACATACAGTTTAAAGTAGTGACTAAAGTACATCATGAAGAGCTAATACATGGACTTTCCTTTACCAGCTTGATTTCTAATACTACGGAAAATGAACAAGATCTTATGTAAAACTCGCCCTGAATACTCAACTTGCTCGTGGTGTTGTCCTATACAACATATGGACAACACCATGTCTTCCATCCATGAGTTTTTTCTTGTCTGGTTTCACATGATTCACCTTCTTGCACACAACAAATCGCCCACTAGAGTTTGCGCGTGTCTCTTGCAATGACCCAGGTGACTTAACAGTCTGCTGCACTCCTCACACTTAGAGTTTCTTCCCTGTTTGATTTAACTAGGCTCACATCTCAACTCCTCAGTCACACCTGTAGGGTTTCTCACAAGTGAGTCCGCATGTGTCACCTTAGATTACACAGCACACTGAACTGCCTGATGCACTCCTCACACATTTAGGGTTTCTCACCTGTGTGAGTCCGCATGTGTTTCTTCAGATTACACAGCACACTGAACTGCCTGCTACAATCCTCACACCTGTAGGGTTCTCCCCTGTGTGAGTCCGCATGTGTTTCTTCAGATTACCCAGCTCACTGAACTGCCTGCTGCACTCTTCACATTTGTAGGGTTTCTCACCTGTGTGAGTCCGCATGTGTGTCTTTAACTGACCCAGCACACTGAACTGCCTGCTGCACTCATCACACCTGTAAGGTTTTTCACCTGTGTGAGTCCGCATGTGTGTCTTGAGATTACCCAGCTCTCTGAACTGCCTGCTGCACTCCCCACATCTGTAGGGTTTCTCCCCTGTGTGAGTCCGCATGTGTTTCTTCAGAGTTCCAAGCTCACTAAACTGCCTGCTGCACTCCTCACACCTGTAGGGTTTGTCCCTTGTGTGAGTCCGCATGTGCCTCTTCAGACTACCCAGCCGATTGAACTGCCTGTTACATTCCCCACACATATAGGGCTTCTCCCCAGTGTGAGTCCGCATGTGTGTCTTCAGAGCACTAAGACAACTGAACTGCTTGGCACACTCCTCACACCTGTAGGGTTTCTCCCCAGTGTGAGTCCGCATGTGGGTCTTTAGACTTCCGAGCTGACTGAACTGCCTGACACACTCTTCACACATGTAGGGTTTCTCCCCAGTGTGAGTCCGCATGTGTGTCTTCAGAGCACTAAGACAGTTGAACTGCTTGCTACACTCCTCACACCTGTAGGGTTTCTCCCCTGTGTGAGTCCGCATGTGTCTCTTCAGATTACACAGCACACTGAACTGCTTGCTGCACTCCCCACACCTGTAGGGTTTCTCCCCAGTGTGAGTCCGCATGTGTGTCTTCAGAGCACTAAGACAACCAAACTGCTTGCCACACTCCTCACAGCTGAACACTTTCCCAGCTTTGTCCTGCCTCCCTCCAGACTCCCCAAAGCTTTCTCCTTGCCAGCTGAAAACAGTGTTGGCAGAACCTCCTGTTGATCCTCCTTGCCAGGTGAAAACGGTGTTGGCAGAACCCCCTGCTGATCCTCCTTGCCAGCTGGAAACAGTGTTGGCAGAACCTCCTGCTGATCCTCCTTGCCCGGTGAAAACGGTGTTGGCAGAACCCCCTACCGATCCTGTCATGATGTCATCCAAACCTTTTATGATCCCTCTTGTCGCCATCTCAACTAGAGCTGAATCAAGCGCTGTAAATAACATTAAACAAGAGATAAAATGTGCTGAAATATGTATAGTTGAGTAGCACTACAAACAAGAATTCGTAGATCTCATATCTCCATGAAATATGTGAGTTTTTGTAAATACTTTTTATTTGTCTCACTATGGAAATTAGCATAATCTAGTTAAATTCATGGTTTTCTAAATTCAAATGACAATATTTTGAGTGTAAAATTCCTCTCCTTTTCATGTCCTCATTAATTATGCAAATTAAGTCATTTGCAAAAATTGTATTTAATTATGTACAACTCTCCCTCAGCTACCTACACACCAAAAATGATGAAAATACGTTGTTCCCATCTGCATTTTTTGGCTTTTAAAGGTTTCGCCAGAAAGTCCGATGCAGTTCCAGAACAAGCTGCTAGGGGGACCAAACCCACACCACTTATTCCTGACAAGTCAAGACTCAAGACCATAGCATATTCAGGACAAAAGATACAAAAACCGGGAATTTAAAGTTGTACACCCCCCCCCCACCCCCCCGTCAAAAATGTACCGTCCCGTAGTTTTCGCACTGTCCCGTCTGGCGTCAGGGCGGGATGGAGTCCAGATGTAAGAATTAGGCGGGACTCACGTAGGGGTTTACAGTATACTCAGGATCAGTTAAGTTTTAAATAAACCCTTTCCTCATGATCATCACCAACAGCAGAATCCCTTTATAACAGTTAACTTTTGTATTCGGTCCGTAAAATTGCAAACTGGATTGGGAGATTTGGGAGCCAAACATTCAATAGCTTGGGTGAGCCCACTGAGATACTTTGTGTCCAGTGTGCTATGGGTTTGGAACCCAGGCTAATAGTGAGCTGTCTTTACTGTATGTTGTTACCAAGGACATTATACAGAAGTATTATGTTGTATCATGTTGTTACCGATGCTATGCAGCTTTTTTGAGGGTAACATTGCAACAGTTAAGTGAACTGTCCCTTGGTCTTTAAATGTATCATGCAAGGGTGTGAGCTTCGACTTATTTGTGACGTGTTTGTAGACGATCGTTTTGTATAAATCCTGGCATGGTTTTGCAATCCATACCTCAATTGCGTATGGATACTCAACTGCCAATGACAATGTAATGGCAAAAATACTAGTACTGAGTACTTTCTTTTTAAACCTCCTTCGTACTGTATAATATATTGTAGCAATTAAATAACTACCGGTATGTCAAAAGTTGTAGTGAGAGAGTTTTTACACCCTCCCACTATTAATGAACCGTCCCGCTGTTTTCACACTCTCCCGTCTGGCGTCAGGGCGGGATGGAATCCAGATGTGAGAATTTGTCGGGGCTCGCGTAGGGGTTTACTGCATACTCAGGATTACATAATTTTGTCTCGGATTAAAACTTTCCTTATCGGCAACACCAGAATCCCTTCATAACAGTATTTTTGTTTACTCGGTTCGTAAAATTGAACAGGGGATTGCGGGACTATTTTGGCTCCTTTTCAAAGCGACACACAACATAATCTCGTAACCCCCTACTGACCCTCACTCTGTTTACGTTACCAACTTCCAGGCGGCAGCTCCTTACTTCTATAAACAATAATTTGGGAACCAAACATTCAAACGTAGAATCCACAAATTTCTCAGACAATGTCACATCAACACTAAGTCTTTTCTTTGCGCAGCTGCACCGAAACAAGGAGATTCAAAATGTTTGAATCTCCAGCACGGCCGAGATCACACGCACACTGGCGCTGGCCCAAACGCACGGCGCCACACAAATATTATGAATCGTTGTTTGCCAACTATACAAACCTCTGAATACCAACTACATGCCGACTTTTCCTACCTGGAAGTTAGTTGATACACAGTCCGGGCCGAGTCGCCTGTTGAATCACTGCAAAACTCCTCCAAAGACGGAAAACTGCTCAAGATGCCGCGTTCTTGCGGGACAGGAAGACGCGATGCCGTGACCCGGAAGTACTCCCTGGCAGAGGTTAAGTCTCGCTACCTGATTACCCAACAGATGTAGATGTTTACTCTCGAAGAAGATCCTAGGGTAACGTTACTTAAAGACAGTATCAAATTGACCAGGCTCTATCCATTGGTCAGAGAGGACACAAGGCTTGATGGGGTGGCGACAAAAAATCGCGATAATCTCAGATTCTGTATGCTCATACTTGAGATAGCCTCCTTTGGAGATTGTAAAAGAATTGACCTGCAATTCCAAAAAAAAAAGAAA